TCTTTTATCTTAAAGCGCATTAACAAAATAAGCCTGGCGTCCTGGCTACTAGTCATGATGACTTTTAAAGGTCTAGGACGCGTTGGTTAAGATGGGCTCTCTGGCCGTTCCCCAGACGGGAGGATTTGTCCACTTCGATTGACGCATTGGGTACCAGCATTTTGTTCAGCAGCTCACGAAGGACCTTCATGTTGTCGGAATACCGGTCGATGGGAGCAGTAACGTTTGGTTCTAGTAGGCCATGTATTATGAAACTTTCTCCACTATCTGTGGCTTTTTCATTGACTCGACGCTGTCGGCCACTTTCTAGTGCAGCGCTTTCGGGTTGCGTACTGGTCATGGTGGAGAGGAAGCTTTTAAGCTACACGTTGGTTCTTCACCGGTTTTCTTCTACTTCGACAAAATCCACGTCTCAGACGATTTTTAATCGCAAGTGGAAGATCCGGTGAGGGAATGGATACCACTGTTAGTGCTTGGTGACAAATCAACAGAATTGCCTGTGATAGACAAGGCACTCGTCGAAGCCCTTTGTTAAGGTTCTTTCGAGGCCTCTCGCGAAGTAGGTTCATCAGTAATTTTGTTCTTGTCGGTGAATTTGCGATTTCCGGCGCTTGCATTGATTTTGCGAGGATTATTTTTATCCTGCACCATTGCTACTTGTTTTGCGGTAATTGTGACAGCTACTGATGTGTTGGCGCGAATTATATCTAGTAACTGTCATTTAACCCTTGTAATTCGCCCACTGGGCGCCTGTTTGGCATCTACTGTGCCTAAGCTGCCTTGTAACAAGCTTTTATCTGACGAATTTCGTCCTCAAGCGGGTTTAGCTTGATTGACAATATCTGACAACCACATCAAACTGCATGTCCGTCAGTTGCGTTTAAATCAATTTGCGACAGTCCACGACGCCGAGATGAAGGGGCTGAATGTTAAACGCTCGACCTTCACGCTGGTGGTCGGTGGTGCGATCCCAGCTTGCGGCATCATTTTTCGGGTGCAGTAAGTAATGTTCAAATCCAAACTTTACCGTAGTACTAACTATTTCTATGACAGATGTTTATAGAGAATATGATTACATAAGGACTTTTAACAAATAACGCCTGTTGTTTTTTCCGAAGTTACGAGTGTCTAGATACAAGTTACAAAACAAATAAGTATACATGAGTGATGTGTAACTGATCAACTCAGTCTTTCCAAACTAATTAGAGGCCTCCTTAAGGTTATTAACTATGCCTATTATTATTATTTGAAAAAATAACGAGTAACTAGCCGAGGTGTAGAGTGCTAGGTGCAATAACACAACAAGTAATTATATACAAAGTGTTTATAAACGATCGACTCAACCTTTCCGCCGACACTCCTCAGAGACACTGACGAGATTGATTTGGACTAGTAAACTGTGGAAGCCAAGATTTCCAGCAGGATGCTCGATTTGGAGAAATGTCCTTGTCAAACAGTGAGGTTATCGAAGGAAACTGGACGGAGAATCGTAGACAACAATAAGTTTTGTTGATCCAATTATTGTCTGAAGACAATTTCTTTCAGTGGGAAAGCTTTATTGAAATTGGACTCCCTGTTGATCAAAATATAAACCGTGTGGGTACAATTTAATTCAAGATATCGTGCAAGAAAAACTTGATCAATTCTACCCAACTTCGTTATAAACCACATAAAAGCTTTTCACTGAGCAGCTATTAGAATGCGCAAATCAACTAAGCTGTCACAAACCTTTTTGTAATTTTAACAGGAGTTTTTCAGGATTAGTATTCGAACTGGGAAACAAACGAGTCAGTTGCTAAGGCAGAAATTACTTTTTATCCACAATAAGGAAATATTGATTGCTAGAAATGTCAAAATGCTAACTGCGGATTGCATACAAACACCACTACTTGGTTAGTTTATCTACAAACCACCAACTGCTACTCGGATATGCATATGAGCAACCGGTGACCATTGAAAAGGAAAGCCTTTATTCCGATGCCACATTTATGTACAGAAATGTACAGACAGCAATTTTTTGACCACCTTTCTTGTGTGAATAAACGTTTAAGCGTCGTGCATACGTTTGTTTAAACGTTCAAATATTATGACCTTGGACAATCAAAACACCGGTGACCTCATTGTAAACTAAGATCGGTCGAGGTCTGCAGCTCGTTAAATGTTTTATACAACACCCAACGAAACTTTCGCTAAAACCTTTATCTTGCAATTTTTTACATTTTTCTTAATTTAGACGTTGTCAATATTTTTTATATCAACCTAGTATCACGTGGCATTGAAATATAAAACAAAAAACATATTCCAGGCCTTTACACGACTTTTTAGAGAGAAATTATAGTTTTAGAAAACTACAGATCCCTTTGAGTCAGTACACGGATTTATGTATTCCTGCTCTTGTGATATAAGTCGGTTGTTTGTCATTTGCTTACGAAAAATATAATATCTTAAGGAGATCGCCCTATTATTTTTTATTTTTATAAAGAGTTCGAACTATTTTTATTAGTGATGATATTTGCATTGAATATTTTTTAATCAATTATTTTTAAACGTTTGCGATTTTTTCTCTGTGACAAGGCGGTGCAAAACTGCTCGTTCATCTGATCTACCAAGACACTGAGTTTTTTGTCATTTTTTAGTCTGGCGCTGCTATAATGCGGAAGTTTACCGTCGCGAGCCAGCAAAGTGACAGCGACTCCGGGCGTTTTTCGGGAGGTGCTGCCTCTGCCAATTCTTCCTTTCGAACTCAGGAGACTAAGCCTCCAATGTACATACTTGTTCATGTGGCCGCGCTTGACCGATCAATTTATCTTTCGGTCGCCAAAGAGGCTCTCGTTTGCCATATAAAACAAAAACTTCTTGAACAGTTTGGTGACCTTCTAAATGATGCGCTGAATTTTGGATTATTTCTTCCTGCCATGAATGGGCGCAATGGAAAATTTCTTGAAGAGGACAGATTGGTGTCAGCATATGTTACCAGTGAAACAACTGCCGCACTTGAAGTAAAATATAAACAACTGTGATTTCTTACCTTCATATTTTAGTTTATTTATAAGAAGCGTATCAATACGGGCTCTGCACATACGCCAACGCAGCAGGACATGATAAAAGTAAGCCCCTTTATTTACTAACTTATACCTTCCTAGCACCACCTCCCACAGAGTTTCTTACGTTACGTAACCCGTGGTGATACGAAAAAGGTTGAAAAGCTTCTCGCCAATGGACTCGATCCGAACTTTGTATGTCAGCGTTCGGGAGGTATGCATTTTTTCTGTAGTTTTCTCACTTTGTCTAGAATCCCCACTCGCAATTGCAGCAATGCGATCAAAGCCCTCAGCCCTTATTGGAATCCTCATTGAAGGAGGCGCTCACAAGGACTTTAGAAGTCGTGGCGGCATAACACCTCTCCACAAAGCGGCCGCGATAGGAAATTTTGAGGCAGTTAAATCTCTGCTAGACTTCGGTCAATCACCCAATAGTCTTGATGCAAATGGCCTCACACCGCTTTACCACAATATTCTTGGGGATGTAGACACTCGCATTTGTCACCGACTTCTCTATGAGCATGCCCAGATTGGAATTGAAGATGTCAACGGTCGACAGGAAATACATCAAGTGAGTGCCGGTGAAGTGCATTCGTCTAAAAACTGCATTTGAATTTCAGTAGAAATTCCAACTCAATCAACCCCTTACTCTGCATGTAGAAATTCTTTCTCTATATGACTGACCTGAATTTTCTGATAATGTGCTAGTTTGTAAAAAAATAATAAGTTCAACTGTGGTAAAAAGTTACTGATTTTCTGTATATTTAAGAATTAGTATTTCTTCAGTTCCAATACCGGTATGCCTTTCCTCGCATAAGGAAATCTACCTTTTCTTCCTTATTACTATGTATACTAGAAGGAGTAATCTGACTTTTGGAGAAACGTATGAGTGGTGTTATAGAAAAAACTAAAATCCAATGTGTCGGGTTTTAGTCCTGAGACAGTATAGGCCTGCTTCATTTAAATACATTTAAGTATGAATTTGGCATTTTAAAAGCCTCATAAAAAGTATTTATTCTGTGAATATATAACTTATAAATTACAAATGTCCAAATCAGTCATAAACAATAGGTCACCTGGA